TAGTCCTGCAGCCAGCCTGGGGCTCTCTTCTGCACCAGAGGCTTGGCAGGTCGGGTTCCTACCTTATGCTCCCCAGGCTGGGAGCGCTGTGGAGAGATCGCTTAGTGTCTGGGTGCAAAGGGGAAGGAAATGGGAGCACTGACAGAAAGCGGAAAGGTCTGCAGGGTTGGCCAGAAACTCAGCGCAGTGGTGATCCTGAGAGACAAGCTTGGCTCACCTGCGTAGCTGGGGAAGCCTCCTCTGTGCAGCTGGTTGTTCTCACTGCTGCTGAGACCACTGTCTCTGGGGGGCAAGGTTTTTCCTCTCCTTTCTGGGAGAAGGGCAGAAGGAAAACCTGAGTCCGATCAGTTCTGTTTCTGGTCCTCGGATGGGCCTGAGAGGGAACTGGTGGATGGACTCTCTTTGCTTTGCAAACGTGGCTGAAGTTAGCTGGCTTAAAATTAAAACTAAAAAACCCCCAGCTCTTCAAAAAAGGAGGGCAAAAACTTGCAGGGAAGGGTGTCCAGACAGGAGCCCATGGCAGCCTGGCAGGGCTGCACGGGGCTGAGTGCTGGAGAAACAGCGGGACCCCGCTACGTCAGAGGCCTCCCAGGGCCAGCCGAGCCACAGGCCCGGGCAGGCTGCACGGCGTGTGGGGCCTGCACGTTGCCATTAAAGACGCAAGCGTCTCTGCCATGCCCCGTCGCTGTGCCAGCGAGATGCAGAGCAAGTCTGCGTCGGGGCAAGTTTGGGTATCGAGTATTTCTGTCAGATCACGCCGGAAGAAAACCCCAAGAGAGCAGCTGTTGGTTGTTCTAGATCCTGTCCCTTCCCTCCCCTGCTGTGTCCCGCAGATTCCCCAGTGACCTAACCGAGGACAGCGGCTGGAGGATCTGGTGAGCCTCGGGGGATGAGCCAAGGTTACCTTTTTCTTGAATCAAACTGCACACTGCCGGCTGGCTGCCAGGCTCCTGCCGCCCTGCCCTGATCTCTCCCTTTGACCAGACCACACTGGACTGAACCCGAGGAGATCATCTCGCTTTCTTACTAACCACCGACGGTTTACGCTTCCCCCCTCCCTGCCCCCAGCCCACCGATTCTTCTTTTATTTATTTTATTAGCTGTTAGTTTTATTTTTTTATTTTATTTTTTTATCTTTTTTTGGGGCTACCCCTTCTTTTTGTTGTTTGCTCTTTCCCGAGCTAGTAGACATATTTTATGAATTGGCTTTGTGATTGTGTTAGGTAGTTTTTATTGAGGAGTATTTTTATTTGGCTTTGAAACTGTTTTGAATATTTTCAACTCTGTTGTTGTTGTCGTCAGTGTTTTTAAAGCACGGTATGTAACAAGAATGCAGTTCTGAAGGGAAGAAAGAGACACAGAGAGAGCAAAGGCTGAGAGGAACTGATGTATTTCTATTTTTTTTAAAGAAACTGTTTTTAATTGTTTCTGTTTTGTAAATGTGAGGCTTTGAAAAGTGTGAAACTCCAAGGATCCGAAAACGTTGGACATCGCTATGGAACAAAACAAATGTATATTTTGCTAAGTGAAAAACACTATCCTTACAGCTGAAAGAATTTTTTTTTTTCCTAGGTTTAGTTTTACGTGGGGTTTTCTTTTTCCTCCTGTATAATATGTAAATATCGCGAGCTGAACCTGGCTGCCACCTGCAGCCTGGCTCCAAGGAGCAGCTCCAGGTCCTGGACTTGGTGCCGCAGCGTGAGCAATACTCTCCAGCAGAATCCTGACAGGACTCCGTTCTTTTTTTGTACACCTTTTACTGTAAGATTTTAAGACCTCTGATGAGACGAAAGGGGGGTGGGGGCGGGGGTGAGACGTACCGGCCATCGGCTGTTTTGCTGAGCGGGTTAAAGCTGCTTCCAATCGCTCGATGTACAGACTCCATCACTGGGCTCCGTAGTGCCAGCCTCTGGATTGGCTTTAGGTAAAGGGCTTTACCGCCATTGCTTGTCTTGGTTACTTTGAAAGGAATTCACTCTCCAAACACTATCGCTTGTGTCAAGATTTCCTGGGAAAGGGGATCCTCCTCCGGAGGCAAGGGCATCGGAAGGGGTGTCAGCCAGGGCCAGGGGGAGGTTTGGGTGGCCCTTCTCTGAAGGGCAGGGCGCTGGGTTGGGGAGTCATTAACGGGGGAGAAAAGCATTAGGGTGGTGATTTGGGGGCGGGTTAAGGGCTTCTCAGGGATTATATGAATTATAGAATTGCAGCTTCCCGTTTGCTTTACTCTGTGTTCTGAAGACTGTGGGAATTTGTCCGTTGTCCTGTGCAGGGGTGATCTGCTCCCTCCTCCAGAACCTGGGGGGCTTCCCCTGGCGTGGCCCAGGCCCCTGCTAACGAGCACGCTGCCAGGGGAAGCCTGCAGCAGGAGTACACGGGGCAGGTTTGGGTCTGGATTCCAGTGAACCAAAGACCTTGTAAGGGGGGTGATTAAGCCTTTTATTAAGATGCAGCCAAACTCTTTTCCCAGGGAAATAACAGCTTCATCTTAAGTTTTAAAAATCATTCCCTCTCTTCCCCCAAACTGAGCCCCTGTAAGGGAGAGGGGCGTTTAGAAAAGGACTGGGAGGGCCACAGTGCCCACAGGGCCCTTCTTCTCTTCCATCCCTCCCCGTCTGCCGGAGCTTGTCCTGACCTGGGCGATGCGTTTGGAGAGTTCTGTTTAGGTAAGAGGGTACTTAACAGATTAGTACTGAAAACACAAAGCAATAATTTTTGTTACTGAGACAAGAGTCTGTATGTCTGTTTTTTTAAATATTTCCTAATTAAAGAAGAGCTGCATTTTATTGGGTTTATTTTTATTCTATATACTTCAAATTTGGGTCTGCGGACAGCGCTTTCCTCCGTCTTGGTATATGCGCTGAACTGCTTCCGTGCCCCCTCCAGACATCCAAGGCCAGCTGTGCTGCTGCTGGGCTGCGATTCGCTCTCTGGCCAGTGCTGCCACTGCCTGGAGGCTGGGGCTCCGGTTTCAGGGTGGGCATTTTTTTTAAAAGAAATAAAGCTGTGTTTTTAAGCCAGTAAGTTATTACACTCCAATGTTTGTTCTCTCCACACCTGTAACCCTTTTTCCAGATTTCAGTTTTAAATTCCTAATAAATTATTTGAAAACTGTCCTTCTCTGTCATTTTTTGGGGGTGGGAGGTTTTCAAATGGAGGAGATTTCGGGTGAACTTGGACCTGGCAGGAGTCACATCCTGCCATTAGGGTGAAAGCCCCAGGCAAGGCTCCGACCCTGTTCTGCTCCCAGGCTTTGGCAGTGGCCCAGTTTAGAATGCGAGGCAGATCTGGTTTTAATAGAGATCGTGTCTCTTCTCTAAGTTACAGAGGTTTTGTATAGACATTTGTAGGTTCAAGAAAGGAGGAGGTAGTGTGGTGCTTAGAGGTTTGGCTCAGATGCTCTGGCTTCAATGACTGTGGTGGACCAAGGAGGCTAGATCTAAGCAAGTAAAATGTAGAGATTGGAAGGGAAGAAAAGTCCTTAACAGTCAATACTACAAGAGAAAAGTAAATTGTGACAGTGTAAAATAGGGTGGGGAGCCCTGTGCAGCAGCTCTTCATTACAGAGAATTCTTAAAAATAATCTAAGGCTCAAGCCTGTAAGTGAAGGAACCAGCTGTAAGCTGGGATGTCCTCACAAGCATACTGAGGACCAGCGGCTTTGTATGCAGCACAGGTTGGGGGAAACCAAAAATAGCATTGGTGGAAAAATCTTTACCCTGCTGGGATTTTTCTCATGAGGCACTCTTGTCATGCTCACATGCTCACTCTCCCACACTTCGTGATCCTCTTGTTGAATTAAAATGTATGAAATCCAAGATATGACAATATTTTTGATTTGTGACTTAAAAAAGCCAGTTTATTGGAAGTTTTCTTGGCAACGTCAATAATAAATCAGACCTTGAGAACCGAGGAAAAAGGAACCACAGAGTTTTAAGGTTCACAGGTAATAGAACAGAGAAATAATAAAAAAAAGGCCAAAGTAGCAAAGGAGAGCGAACACTTAATGGATATTGAAGGGGAAGTCAGGTGATTGATCTATGGGCAAAAGATTAAATCCTTGTTTCTGAACTAACTGTGGTATGGACTGTCCTTTACATCAGCCTTTAGTGTTCAATGTTCTCGCTGGTAGGACACAAGATCTTGAATCTGTAACTCAGCATCTGTATGGTTTTAGCCAGCCTGTGAGTGGGGAATCCCAGAGAATCAGAGAGCTTGTGAGAGATCAAAAGTTCGGAATGGTTCTGGCTGTTCGTCAGCATGTCTACCTTTAGATGTCCTGTGGATACGTCAACATCCTGTGGATGCTATGGGCACCCTGGCACAGTTTCAGCCACTATGAGGGGGAAGATGTCCTCATCGTCCCTTATAGAAACATGCATTTGAACCTACTGAAGGGTGCTGAGCTTCCTGAAGAAGCACTCTGGTATGTCAGGCTGTTGCGGAAAGGTGGGCTTTGCCTCTTCCCCTGCTCTTAAAAACTGAAGGCTTGCTTGGTGCTTTAGAAGTCAATGCAGACTCTCACTATCAAGTGAGCAGTCTAGGATCTGTATCTTGAGTGTGTAAAAATGCCAAACCTGTAGTCCTGACAGTGTTGGAGCCTCTGGGGTCTGAATATGAGTGCAGTATCTTGGACTTACCCCTGGCTGACACCAGGAAGCTTTTTCTTACCCATTTTTTGATCTTATGTCAAAGTTCCTAACTCGCCTCACGCCTTGGCATAGAGAGCCAAAGGGCCTAACTGGGTTCTGCTTTGGTGCTGGAGAAAGAGAAACTGCTGTCTCTGAGCTTCTGGGGTCTGCTGTGGCTGTTGAAACTTCCAGGCCCATGGCAGGGGGGTTGGAACTAGATGATCTTTAAGGTCCCTTCCAACCCAAACCATGCTATGATTCTATGATTTCCAGTGTAATTCCCTTCAGGTCATGTAAAAACAGACACTATTCCTTGTTTAAGCCAAATACAGAGGCTTTCCAGGTTGCTTGGCTCCTGTTTCTTGCCTAGTAGACCTCCTCCTCCTCTATGGTTTCAAAGTAAAAAACAGCTTGAATTTTTTTCAGTTCAGCTCATGCCAAATTGTCATTTGGGGTGAGGGGACGACCTGTACCTTATTCTCTGAATTAGGCCCGGAGAATCCATGGAGAGATACAGGATTAATGATAAGTGGGATACCATAAAAAGAGGATGCCAGTGTTAGTAGGATGGATAGTAGTGTGCCAGCGATTTCCAACATTAACTACCACACTGCTATATTTTTTAGTAGAGAGCCCTTGAAAATGTCCAGATCTTTCAGGCTGGCTTCTAATAGTAGCATTAAAAGAATTTAATAGCAAAAATCCAGAGAGCAAATATTTGCCTTCCTGGCTTTCAGAGATTTAACTCCACTGGCCTTCAACTGGTCACGTCACAACCTGCTGCCCACAGCCTCTGATGGAAGAAGTCTGCATTTAGTAACATAAATACTGGCTTGTTTATCTCATACCCGTCTCAAGGTGAGCTTGTCGTATAAAGAGCCGCGTTTTCTTTAGCACCGGTCTCTCTGTCAGGTCCTCAGAGAATGAAGTCCCTGGCCCTGCTTTTCCTGCTGTCTGGTGTGTAGGTACGCTCACCCCCCAGCACCGGTAACACCATGCCTAACTCTAACCTTTGCGTCTCTCCTCAGTGGGCGCAGCCAGCGCTGCTGTCTCACCCCGGGCCCTGTGGGAGTTTCGCAAAATGATCAAATGCACCATTCCGGACAGCCGTCCTGTGCTGGAATTTGCTGACTATGGCTGCTACTGCGGCTTCGGAGGCAGCGGGACACCAGTGGATGAGCTTGACAGGTTTATAAGACTCTGCTTTTACAAACCTCTTTCCTTGCCTGTGCTTTCACAGTTCTGCATGCCAGCTTCATCTCAGCTGGCCCTGCCTATGAATGTCCGCAAAACTCTCTGGCTGCTGTGAATGTAGCTTTCTCTCAAAGACTGGTTCAAGGCAAAAAGGTTGTGTAGTATCACACCTTGATGCCTTATTACTAAGATAAAATATAATCCCAACAACTATTTTCTCCTCTGTGGCAGCTAAACTGCACTTGTTCCAGCATTTTTTTTTGCAGCAGTGCTGTGCCAGCAGCCCGGACGCAGCTCTGAGCACACTGCCCACTGCACGACCATCAACACGTGCAGGCCTGAGCTGCAAAATGCAAAGACGTGCCTTGGGCAGTTTAGAGATCACACAAGACTGATAGCCAAGATGCAGTGAATTGTGTCAGCTGTTAGCTCTTCAGCTACCCGGCACTGGCGGGGAACGTTTGGTAAATGCTGTCTTTTGCTTT